ATTGGTGCTATTTTGCAGCAAAACCACCCGATCAGAGAACATGTGCCACGTCCATTGTTCTTAGTAATACATTGGCAAGAGACTATTTGAGGATAAATCTTAGTAATACACCAGACACGACATTCGCTCTTTATGAGCTGAGATTAATTTCAAATTTATGACCCCCGACATAGCTGCAGGAGGTGAGTGAATTTTAGTTTAAAGTTTTGGCAATTAGATTTGTATTTTTGTATGAATTTAGGAGGGATTTTAAAAGTTTGGAGTCCCATCCGGTTGAGATTTTCTATCATCACGGCCATCATTGAGGATAACATGATTGTCATTTGAAAAATATATGTATTTTGTAGCAATTTAGGAGGCATCCTATAATTCAAGTCATGTCAACTACAGTCCTTTCAATGAGGATGAAACTTGAAATATTTGACTAGCGTAGCATTCTCAGACCATTGGATTTAAGAATCAAATATGATAGTCAGAGCACATGCGAGTTGTGTTTTTAGCATATAAATTGGAGTTATTATGGAAGTATCTCTTTTTTTCGCTTATATAGGTGTTGCAGATTCGGTGGCATTGTTTGGCAACGCACTGGGTCTCATTTCATCTTCTATCTATTGTTATTTTCTTCAATATCCAGTCTGCAGAAGTATACTTCTGTCTGCAAATACACTGTAAGACGCATCAAGAGCCTTCTACTAGTGATCTGCGGTTTACATCATAAATTTCCTACTGCTACTTGCAGGTGCATTGAAACGTTGTGCTATGGGTTGCTTGTTGCTTCCTACAGACGATCTGTCGTGCACTGACAAAACCTGCAGTTGCCGTAGAAGCTTGCATTCATCACAGGCTTTTATACTTGCTTGTAGATAACATGTTATACATATGACGAATCTACTACAACATCTCATAGGTGCTTGCATTTGTCAAAAATCAATCGCCTTTACTTACATGAAATCAATATATTTGCTTGACGTTGAATGGTTGTTAGTTGTAAGGGTGTTATGGCACCCACTGCCTGTTGATGGCTACTCGTAGGCATACTACTGTGCAAATAGCAAACATTACGTTGCTACCAACAAGTGCTCGTATTCATGGTATGCTGCACTATGTATGTTTGCAGGAGGCATTATCGTCTGCAAGCAAGTTGACATGTTCACTGCACATTGATCTTATGTTCGTAGGAGTCGGGTATATTCATTTGTATGTTGATCAGCATTGACTGTAGGAATGCTGCTACACTAGGTAGCACACTCTTCATACTTCACTCATGAACACATTGCCCAGGTTCATTGCAACTATCATGCCCTTTTCTACAAGCATGAGTGTTGCATATCAATTAACATCATTCATAGGTCATTATTCTTGTTGAGAGTTATGTGTGCTCTGCTTGTATGTATTTCAGTTCTTGTGGGGACTATTTCATGTAACTGTAAAACAACTGACATGGTCGCAGGGAGATCATCACATTTATACATTACAAGTAGACTAGTACACTTATATGCCAGTTAATTATTGTTGATAGTAGGCGGTTTATTCCTAATATTACCTCCTTCCTTTGCTTATGGACGTGCGACATTCCTTGTACATTACAATTGGTGGATTGTTATATTCATCACATGTCTATTGTTGCTGCTAGGGGTGTCAATATTTGACACGACACGACAACCCGACCCGGACCCGACCCGAAAAATCCGGGTTGGACCCTCGCGGGTCGGGTCGGGTCAACCCGGCAACCCGGCCGGGTCGGGTCCGGGTTGAAATGTCCGACCCGTTTGTAAAAACGGGTCGGGTTCGGGTTGACCCGTTTAGATACGGGTCGGGTCGGGTTCGACCCGAACCCGGCGGGTTGACCCGAATTGACACCCCTAGTTGCTGCCATGATCTGTCGCGTATATTTTATGTTCTTTGTTATCTTTAAAGGTGATCTACAGCATGCATAATGAACCTGGCAATGTTTCTTGCTGATATTTGCATTCCATTCATTAAGACAACAATTAATATTCATTGGAGATTTTATGTTATTGCTTATAAGTAGAATTCTTGTTGATCTTTCTTTGCAAGCAAGTTGGAATTGGATTTTGTCCACCACAAACCTCTCATTTGTTCATTTGCATTTGAGGATTTGGTTATTTTACACATTACAACTTTGTTTTAGATATTAGGTGCGGTTCGTAGTTGGTGTTCAAGTCCTGTGAGTCATCAGTTCAAATTTCGGCAACCTCCCAACATCCCCTCCCCACGGGGGATATTAGGGAGGGCACTTGCCCTTTCAGGTTCGCTCAATCAAATCAAATTCACGGTGAGGGCTTCGGAAGAGCAAATTGACCCCGAAATTGAACTTCAAGTCTTCTAATGCAGTGCTGTGGTATTTTGGCATTTTCTCAGCATTTCGACAGATCCCCTCGGTCGGTTCGAATCAATGGCCAAGGGCTACAGGGGAGTGAATCGACTCTCACAATTGGTCTTCAAGTCTTAAATTGCATGCGACTGGTTAATTAAGTGATTTAATTGAATTTCAAAAGATATTTTTTATTCCCCTTGAAAATTTGGCAGCCTTTCGACGCCCCCTCCTTGCAAAGGGAGATTAGGGAGGGCACTTGCCCTTTAGGTCCACTCGGTCGAATCATATTGACGATCGAGGGCTTCGGGGGAGCAAATTGACCTTGGTATATCTTAGATCCTCTCCTATTACGGTATCTTTTTGAAAATCTCCTATATATATATATATATATATATATATATATAATAAAGAGAGGGAGGGAGACGAACAAGGGTCATGATAGAAAATATTTGATTTCGCAAGTAATCCTATCGAAAGTACTTGAGTTCGCAATCAACCCTAACAATAAATTGGTACAAACAGTGAGAAAATACACAATACACCAATGAAATCAACTCCAAACAATAGTTTTTATTATATAGAACAAAACAAGCAAACATAAAGATTATGACACAATTGATCTTCAATTTGAGAGGAGGATCATTCTCTCCCAAATCTCTAGACAATAAGTCTAGAGTCCAAGACCCCAAAAGACTCCAAGAGAAAACAATAGTCAAGCATCCCCTAACCCTTACCTCTCATACCTATTTATAGCATAAATTTTCTAATTACAAATTCCCTCCTAGCCTTAGCCGCCCAACCTCCTTTCCCAAAATAGATTAATTCAAATAGTGAACCTGCCCAACCTCCTTGAAAAAAATAGATTAATTTAAATAGTGGACCCCACTATCTTTGGTCAGCACTAAATAGGGGTGTGGGCCCCTATGGCTTGTGCGGCCACATGGGAGGCGATTTGGCCCGCCTCCTATACACTCGGGCCAGCCCATGTGGGGTCAGCTGGGTCGGTTCAGTAACCGACCTAACAGGTCAGCGGGTTCGATAATCAAGCACTGGAGCGGCGGCAGGAGTCCGATCATGTGCAGGTATGTGGAATCGATGAGTGAAAGAGGATCAAGGTCGCTCGTGCTTACCAGAAGGAGGTTGGTCCTATGTTAGGTCAGCCGAGATTTGGGTGTAGGGCACGACTTGGTCGGGCGCAGGAGATGAGAGCGGGAAAAATAGGTGTGGATCGAACGGATGAGGTGTTCAACTTCGTCACCAGGGGGACTTCAAGCGAACGAACAAGAAGTAGAGAGCAGGAGGGAGTTCCGTGACTTTCTTCTTTACATTAGATTATGAGAGAGCGAGAGATAGAGAAATGAGAATTTGAATGCTTCACGTTCCTGTGTGCATGAGTGCAAATACCTGAGGGGCTCTGTCATTTTGTACTGTTAGTGTGGGTGGTTACGTGAGATCGTGGTATCGTGCCAGTCGATAGTTACATGTCAACAACAAGGTGGTTTTATCAAGTATTTTTCTATTTCAATTGAATTAGATAAAGGATCAGCTTTAAGCCCATCTCTTTTTGCTTTAGTCATGAATGTTCTTACTAGACATTTATACTACTAGAGAATGTTCATACTAGACATTTAAGCTCATATATTTTTGCTTTAGTAAAGAATGTTCTACTAGAGGATGTACCTTAGTATATGTTTTTTGTTGATGATATTCTTCTTGTTGATAAGACTAGAGAGGGAGTTGATGAAAAACTTGAATTATGGATATCAATTTTAGAGTCTAAAGGTTTTCGTTTGAGTAGATCTAAAACTAAATAAATAAATTATAATTTTAGTAGTAATAAATCTAGCAGTGGGATTGTGATATAGGGTGATCAAGTCATTAAAAAGAGTACACATTTTAAAATGCCTCGGGTCTATTGTTCAAATTGATGGTAAAATAGATAGGAATATTATTAGTAGATCTCGAGTTAGATGGATGAAGTGGAGGAATGTGTTGGGCCTATTGTGTGATAGAAAAATACCCTTAAACTTCAGAGAATTTAATAAGACAACGAGACTTGCAATGTTTTATAGTGCAGAATGTATGCCATTAAAAAGATAAGTATAAAATTAAGTTAAGTGTTGCAAAGATGAGGATGCTAAGGTGGATGAGTAGCTTTACACTTAGAGATAATATGCGAAAGGTTAGAGTAGCTCTAGTAACGAATAAGATTAGAGATAGTTTCCTTAGATGATTTGGTCACATAAAATGTCGACCTTCCGATGACCCTGCTAGGAGAGAAGTATTATATGCAACCTATGCTATGAAATGTAAAGGTAGAACTAAAAAGACTTTGTTAAAAAGTATTAAAAATAATCCTTTTTATTAGATTTAAATGAGAATTTAATACTAAATAGGTCACAATGGAGAAATATGATTCATGTAGCCGAACTCATATAGGGGGATAAAAGCTTGTTGTTGTTGTTGTTGTTGTTGTTGTTGTTGTTGTAGTATTCATTCTTTCATGGTTTTTGGTTGGCTTCCTAGGCCTTCTTGATTGTCTATAAATATTGTACCTTGGCTCTATTCTTGACACACAAAAATATCACTTAACAAATATATAACACGTTTCTAGTTCGTAAGGCAATCTGATATAAACTATGCAAATCTGCAAACTACTAACCTTTATCATCTGAATAGGAATTTGCAAAGTCTAGATCAGGTTAGTTTGCTCAGCTTCACAGCTGGAGAATCAGCAGAAGCTGGTGAAACTCCACCAGTTGTTGGCCTAAACAATATTGCAAGTTCAGAAATATAAGCTAAGAACTGGAAAAAAAAAAACAAGTCGAATGTGTCAGATGAAAGAAATTTCTCACAGGCCAACAAAAACTTTGAAAGCATCATAGATACCCCACTGCGCGCCCGTTAGAGTGCCAATCATTACAATGCGAAGTGGAAGACCGCGGGTGAAAAGACCCCACAGCCCAATCTTCCTGACAGCCTAAATAACAACAAATAAAAGAAAAATAATACAGTGCAAGAACAATGAACAAGAAAGCTTGAGACCCAGCATGACCAAATTCTCTCATGATATATTGACATAAATTTTTTTCCCGAAAAAATTGGCTAGGATGACTCTCAAAATTATTGGATTTACTTTGAGATAAATGCAATATATGGAGAATTTGCATTTCACTCATCTCAAAGAAAATCTAACAACTTAGAGATCCATCATGATAGAAATTACTTGAAAATATTATAACAAATTTTTTTATTTGAAAAAACTTGGCTCAGGATATGCTGAGATAATTTTAGTTAGGATGGGTCTCAAAGATTTAAATACTTAAATTAAGATTTCTATGTGATTTGCTTTGAGATGAGTATAATATATCTCAAAGCTGTTCGGTTTTTTTTTATGCAAATGCAATATATTGTACTCATAGAAAAACAAATAAAAAATTTTAAGACCAGACAAAAATTTTTCAATAAATAAATAAAGATGAAAAGCAGGCACCAACATCACCAACAGTGGCATCCTTAGCATTGTTGAGAATGGAGACAAGGTTGTCAGCTGGGTGAGAAACAACCGCACAGAGGATGCCGGCGATGTAGCCACCAGCAAAACTCACCCCTAGTTGAGTAGTTTTGCTGCACTTGTCCTTGGGTACTGGGATGGCATACTTGTATATCATTTCAACAATAGTCTCAAAAGAAGCAAACTTCATCATAGTATCTGCACAATTTACATTTCAAGCATTAATAATAATATAAAGACTGCAAATCTAAACACAATCCAGGAAAAAATGTGGAATTTATTTAAAAAAGAGAGAATTTTTAGTCTCAATAAAACCCCAAGCTTCTTTTTACATTGGTTAAATATGTATTTTCCGAATAATATAAGCTTCCGCAATGATGTCACTATCCCTTAGTCTGTAGGCAATGCTTGCCGACATGAAGTACCTTTTGCTGTCCTCAAGCCACAAACCTCAACTAATCCAAAAACTTCATTTTTTTGACTAAATTATATATATATATATATATATATATATATAAGCTAGGCAATACAAAATGGTAGAAGTGGATAGACAGTTCATTTATAATAGGGGCTATTCGATTTACTAAAAAAGGAATGACAACAGCAGCTTCCCACAACCACCCACCCGCAGTCGACCACAGCGATCACCTCCAACAATGCCGCAACCGATCACCACCATCGTTTTAATTTACATTGCATTAATTTTACTTCAAGCCAAATAAGAAAATATTTCCTGCATTTCGTCTGCACTCATTCAAACAACATCAAATATTTCAAACACATTATATTCCTTTTATAGTGCATTAATTTTAATCTGTATTTTTGTTTTTAACAAATCAAATAGCCCTTTGGTGAAAATGGAAATGTAAATTGGGAAAATGAGAAATAATAGATGAATATGTTGATTTTTGAAGTGAGATGGTGAATTACCTCATTGAAAAAGATGGATTAAAAATAGAAAATAGACTGATAACATTTTATAACTATTATATTTGCATAAATTAGCTAATCACCCTCTAAACTCTATTCTGGAGAGAAAAAAGAATGCGCTGGAGAACAATGATGATGATAAGGATGAGTAAAATAATTTGTAAAAAAGAGAATTTACATGGTTCAGTGAGTTACACTTATATCCACGAGTGCAAAAAAAATAAATGTTTACTAATCTAGAGATAAATATGACACAAATATTTACTTGCTAATAATTTTATCACTTTCATCTCACTAGTATTCCTGCCCCCTATATTCTCTACAAAACCTCACTACTGCCTTCAATGTCTGACCATCTCGTTGGTAACTAATCCACGTGCCAGTTGTTGATTTCCTCTTGAGAAACCATCCAACTTCCAACTATCACCTTCAACAAGATTGCTAACCATCCAACAAAGAAATCCCTTCATATGACACCACCCAAGATAACTACAAACCTTCAATCACTCCATTGGCTACTTTTTCAATCTAAAGTAACCCTAAGACATGAAAATTTTTAAACTAAAAATCTATTAGAATGATAAGCAGATCTGAAATTTGCATGGTCACAAAAAGCTTAAAATATTCAATTGACTTCTCAACCTGCTTCAACACTTATCATCACTATGCAGATTGCTTGGTGATTAACTACATGACAACTTTCACATTTTGCATGTAGCAATACATGAAATTGAGAAGCAAATTAAAAGGATTTATTATTTGTGCTATTATGATTGTGTTAGGAAATACTTGAGGACCACAAGTAACCCTAATAATAGAGATAAAAACAACAAGAAAACTCCACAATTTTGGGGAAAACAAAAGAAAACAGTGATTTTATTGTGAAAATCAACTAACGGAAGAAAAAAAAAAGATACAATTGATCCTCTATTTGAGAGGAGGATCTATCTCTCCCAAATCTCTAGACGCCGCTAGAGCCCAAAAACCTAAATCTAAGAGATCTCAAATTTCAACCAAATTCAAGATGCCCTAACCCTAGGAAAACAAACTATTTAATGCATACAATCCAAAAAGAAATCTCTAAACATTCCCTACATTCGAATTTCCCTCCTAATTCTCTAAAAAATCCTTCCTAAACAGCGCTCTTAGATTGGCAAGCTCAGTCACGCGTACAGGAGAGGCGGAACTCTTCGCCTCTGTTCTGCCTGAGCCGGTTCTGTATGGACCAATCTAACAGATTGTTGTGTTGTTGTTATATTACGAGGTGTAGTTTACTAATTTATTAATCTTTATGTTCTATAAAAAATAGACATAAGAGCAAAAAGGTGGTGCACCAGCAACATGGGAATTAAAAATTACTTTAATCTACTGTGATATATGTATTAAGGAGATAGAATTGAGAAATAGACCAACTAATCACTTCAGTAAGAAAAGTTGGAGAATCCTGATGAAAATATTCAATAAATACACTAGTAGAACATATGATCATACACAACTTTTAAAAAACAATACGATCACCTTAAGGAGTGTAAGTTTTGGAAAGAGTTAATGTGTAAAGAGACTAAAATAGGATGGAATCCAAAATAATAGATACTTCAAATCAGTGTTGGACTGAGAAATTATAGGTATATCAATAATACTTAAGTTATATTACATGAAGCTTAATTAACTTTTTTACGTATTGCAAGTTATACTCGCAGCTTAGAAGTTTCGAGATAATGTAATAATCTCTAAGCTTGAAGAGAAACTTAATATTATGTTTCATCATATTGTTGCAATTGTTGATGATATTTGGGTTTCTAACTCAAGTGTACTATTCCCTAAATTAAGAGATGTACAATGAAATTCATCTGATGAGGATGAAATTCAACGTGTTGAGCCTAATACATTACACATTAATGGGGCTTGAAGGTGTTAGTAGAGGTGAGTCACAAAGGTCACATGCTACTTAACCATTAATTCATAAAAGGAAAATAGTTAGAAAAAGTAAGTCAATGGGAAGGCAACTTTTAATAGATCATGTTGAAGATCTTATAAATGTTGCACGATCTATAAGTTCTGCAATAACTATAGCGAATGCACCATGAAAAACAGTTACAATTCTTGATGCATTAGAAGAAATTTCTTGAATATCAAAGATATTCAATAATGTGAAGTTCTATGACTTTGTGACAAATTATATACATGATAGGAGGCACAAGAAGACTTTCATGGGAATTTCTAATGATAGGAAAGTTTGGTGGCATAGAGGAAAATTCAACAGGATCATTAGTTAATTATTGAAAACTATAATCTTCTTCGCTTTTAATATTTACAACTTTATAGATCGAGAGTTCAAAGATATTTTCTTTAATTTCTTTTTAAGTTGTAATTCAATTATGCTTACTTTATATAATGTTAAGATTTCAGGTTTGTAAGTGAAAATTTGCATGTCATCATACGTATTATGCATTATAAATTTTAGCTCATCATCTTTAAATCCAACAACTTATATAGCCTATTACTTTACAGGGTCTCAGTTATTCATTGAGGGGTTATACCATATATAACAATAATTATGTTGGTGTAGGAGATTAGTACATGAATCACATAAACTCAAACTATAAACTTTCTCTTAAACCACTATGAACGTTAGAGAAATTCATGAGAATAGATATGTCAGATTCATTTGATGAATGTAATTATATTTATTGTTGTTGTCTTAGTTCATGATGACTTAGCATATACTTTCAATACATTAGCTCCAATGTTCAACACTTAGGCTGGCAAAAGTCGATATCCACCATCTTTTTTTTTTTTGAAAAGTTACCTTCAATATAATTGCCATAGAAATTAGAAAATTTCTTCTAATACTCTCCGGGTAATAACTTATTGCTTCTGAATTCAAACTCATGAGCATTTGCAATGAAATAAAGTGTAATTGAGCTGAAGAGAAGGCAAATCCTCTTTATTCAAGTGTAAGTTGACCTATCTCCCCAAGCTAGCAACCTTTTTCCAAATTTTTCCCCCATTCACAGCTACTATAATTAGTAGAATTTTTGTAAGAGCAATTTTGACACATTATGTTATATTAAGGTTCCGTTTGGTTGCTTTTTCTCTCCTGCTTAATTTGTGCAAAATTAGATTTAAATGAGAAAAAAGGTTAACAAATCTGTCTTACAAGTACAACTCAAAAAATTTGAGTTTTTTTCATTCTTAGGTCTAAGGACACAATGAGAAAATTGGGTTATTTTACAATTAAACCTAGTGGTATTTCTTTTGGTTTTTTTTTTTTAAATTTCATTCATAAACAAGTTTTGATGTTGCTTTTGGTGTAGTTAATGCTACTTTTAAATGTATGCTAAATAAAAGTTATTTGTAATGCTTACATTTAATCAGATGAGCAATGTCAGAGGACAATGAGAATTGTTTTGAGTGATGAATGTCATGAAGAAATGTTGCCAACTTATGATAGTATGACGATTATTCAATTTAGTATGTATTGCTAGCTTCAAGTTGTTCACTTTATGATTACTACTCACTGCACTTGAACAAGAGACCATGCATGACATTATGTTAAATTAAAGATAAATGGGTGTGTCAGTTACTTTGCAAACATCTTGTTAGATTTCATAATATATATAGAATGCTACAACTAATTTTCAAGGACTTGCTTTGCTTGCTTGAACCATATAAGGGGTTATGTAGATCATATAGAATTAATAATAGAAAAGTTATTGTCATTACATTGTTTATTGTAAGATATAATGAGCTTGTATCAGTGAGATTCTAACACTATGAAAAAAATAAGTTAATATTTCTCTATTGACCTCAAAGCATTAATTCACCTATCAATGGACATTATTACAATAGATGTTAAGTAATTTTGTGATATTCCAATGCATATTGTAAATGATATGAGGTACATGCCATATTTTAACGACTGTATTAGGGCCATTGATGGAACTAGTATCGACACGCAAATCCTTGTTGAAGATCAAATTGATTACATAGGGCAATATTATTTACCAACTCAGAATGTCATTGCTATATGTAATTTCAAGGTGCATGTCATTTGTCGCGCCAAGATGAAAAGGCTTAGCTCATGACACTCGACTTTTTTAACATACTATGATGGATTCTTTATGCAATTTTCCTGCAATCAATAGGTATTTTTTGAAAATATAAAAATGACTTTATTGATATATTTTATGTTTTAGTATGTGAGGAAAGTAACATAAGGGGATTTCTCAAGCCTTATCGATAGATGATATACCATATACTAGATTTTGTATGAGACAGTTGATGGTAGACATTCCTCATTCAAAGTGCACTAAAACGAGCATTTGGAGTATATAAAAAGAAAGAGGGAATTCTAAGAGATATGCCAAATTACACCTTCAAAAAATGCCTTATTATTGTAGCTACAATGACAATATCTAACAGCATACAAAGATATAACTCCTATGGCATTCATCTGAATCAAAGTTGTTATGCTCACACCATTCTCTCTTGGGCTCGAATACAAAATGTTAAATCCATCTCCACACCCGATCATATAAAGCATACTGACTTTGATTCAGCTTCTTTAGAATTTTGCAATCCAACACTCTATCATCATCTAGTGGGATCGTTGCAATACCTCATGCTCACTCGCTTGGATATCACTTTTACAGTTGATCAAGTGTGCTAACATATGTAGTGGCTGCTTAAAATTCATTTTGAAGCACTAAAACGACTACTCCGATATATCCAATGTACGATCCATCTTGGTATTCCACTTTTCAAGGACTCTCTCTCTCTCCGAGCTTACGCAAAATTTGGACTGGGCTGGCAATCCTAGTGATCGAAAATCAACTTCTAGATATTGCAATTTCTTAGGCAATTCTCTCATTTCATGGAGTGTTAAGAAGCCAACTATCGTTGCTAGATCTTCTACTGAAGCAAAGTATCCAGCCTTAGCATCTAGCACCGATGAAATCACATTATTGTGTCGCCTCCTCTCTGACTTCAACTACGACTCATCTTCCCTTGCTCCGTTGTTTTGCAACAATACTTCAACAATCGCCTTAGTTAACAATCATGTTTTTCACACTCGCAACAAATATATCAAGGTTGATTGCCACTTCACTTGTCACAACATCAAAACTACACACCATTGTTATCAAATATCTACTCAAGATCAACTTGACAATATATTTACTAAATATTTATCCATCCCCGCTTTAAACATATTGCAAGCAAGCTCATTACAACTGCTGTAATAGCTTGAGGAAGCATGTTAACAAACAGTCTTCATGGGGCAGAACTAGTGGAGCAAAAAAAAAAAAAAGATTGCTTTTCTGTCACATTAATCTGGTCCCTTCATTTTAGGAAGACTTTAATCAGAACCTTAGTTTGCTAACCTCCTCTGGGACAGCAATGATTCTTCTACTTTATCACTTATTATATATATGTACATAACTGGTTGTTATACGGGTAATAAAGACGTGAGAATATTCTCTGCTGCCTTTTCTTTTCCAATGTATTTTCCTTGTCTATGTTTTGCTTGCTCACTACAGATTTTCATATTTCATAGTGGAAATGTTGCAAAATGCAAGGGTACCACTAAAACACCAAAGTAAGATTGTCACTAAGCTCCCTAAAAAGAAACAAAGGAGCAATAGATTTTGGAACCGCACCTCTAAAATCTGAGAATCCTCTTTTCTTCTAGGTAACTAAATTTCTTATTCACCGCTTATTAAAGGATGTTTATAATTAGATCAATACAAACGAACTGATTTCCATGTAAATTGAGTGCTTAGTCTAAATCATGCTAATTGGCAACAATAAAAGATTGCATATGGAAACTGAAGCTGTGGAACAGAAAAAGAAGAAAACAAAGTCGTTAAACAAAAAAAAAGACTTGAATATAACTAGTACAAAAAAATTCACATGGGAATATGTAAGATGAGATAATAAGATGAGATAAGAAAGATAAACTTACAAGGAATTTGACGACCCCAGAGTGGTACAAGCCCCTTGTACAATCTGCAGCAAAACAATAAAATTGATTGTGTAATAATCAGGCATAACTAAAATACTATTTCACATACTGAAATTTTGAATATAAGCCATACCCAGTATATCCTTCAGATTTCACAAATTTGGGGAATCCATCAGATAGACCCCTAGCAAACCCTGGCTGTGTTTGAACTCGAACCTTCACAGCCTCCATGGGGCATAGAGCTAAATCCGCAATCAGCTCAGCAGAAGCAGAACCAGCCAGATAGATCAAGGTCTTATACTTTTCAACAAACTCTGGCCCAGCCATATGGGAATAATATTTCTTGAAAAATTCATAGAAGCCAAATTTGCAAGCGCCTTGAGCACTATATCCTAGTAGGGTAGGCACCCATCCTTTGAAGAAGCCTCCCAAGCCCTGCTCCTTTAGCAGCGCAATAGATCCTGATAAGATGCTCTTGTATTTTGCTGGATCAATCTGAAAGAGAGCAATAGATTCTCTCAGTTGGAATGTGTTGAACTGTTTCGATCACAACAACCACTCGTAGTTCTAAATCCCAGCACTGATTAATGCGGCGAACATAGCAACGAATCTAAAAATGAAGCAAAACAGGGATGAGATTCAAAGATAAATTACCTCCAAGAAAAAATTAAACTAGCCCCGATAATAGGAAACTAAAAATTTCATTCGAAAAAAGCATCAATGTAGCAAGAAATCTAGAGAAGCGAAGTAACGATACTCGTAGACAAATAATCTCGAGGAAACTTGAAATTTTAGATTAGGTCTTTCAATACACAAAAGTCAAACCCATCCTACATAAAATAAAAAACAATATCAAAGGCAATCATTCCAGAACTCGGGATTCCACATTAATCGATCTTGAGCACGAATAGGCATACCTGCATATTGCACTTGACAAGATCGAGGGGAGTGACAGCCATGTGCGTGAGGCCGCAGCTAACGAGGCCTCCTGCTGTACAGGCGGCGTAAAACAAGGGTGGATACAATCCGATCTTCTTCTTAGGATCGCTAGGTGCCTCGGGAAATAATGATCTCCCTGACCTACCGTCATTTGACGGTGCAGAGTCGTCCAGATCGGCCGATCCAGTGCTCCGTCTCAGAAGCTGCTCGACGGCGATAGTTCTCGTGGCAGACGGCGATAGTTCCGAGTAGAGGATGGTCGCCAGCAGCCAATGGCGATCGCTATCACGTAGATCCATTGCAACCCCGACTGTTACCGCGGAGAAGAGAATCGGAGGCGGGAGATGAGTGAGTGCTGCAAGTCCCCACCGCTCGCAGAAACTGGTGGGCGCATCGAGAATAGTTCGCGCCAATGTATTTAGAAGGATGGAGAAGAAAGACCTTGCATTTTTTTATGAATCTACGAAAATGCCAGAAGGGAACGATACTCCGGCAATGTAAAAGGCAACTTGGTAAAACTACAAAGACGCAGTGGTGTTTTAGTAAAAGGGTAAACCTCTCACATTTATCTAGGGCTTTCCTATTTTCTTTTGGGCAATTTACATATATATCATCTTAGATCATATTATTTATCTATTTAATATTCAAAATTTTAATATTACATATATATTAGCTATAAATAACTTTAATATAAAAAATATTACTTTTATGTTACATTTCTATCACATATCTTCCTATAAACTTTAATATTTCATGGCTTGCACTCATAATTATGATAAATTATTATGTGTGGAGTCCGAAAGCAAGACTGCATCTAGACATACGAGTGTACACAGTGTATATAAAATTATGTACATATTGTCTACAAAAGTAAAAATACACAGTATGCACACACTATGTACACTTACATCCAAATGCAACTCTAAGCATCTCGACTCTGCACATAATACTATATTCATATTTACTTTATGGGTAGCATATAAAGATCTTCCATAACTAGAATTTCAAGGCATAGCAATACCAGACAAAGGTTCATTAAGACCATTTCCCACACACTAAGAATCTCAACCGGCTCAGCAATTCACAGGTTGAATCGTCAGTTTTTGTCGGTTCAATCTGGTTTAATGCGAAGCTTATTTTGTAAGCTGGATCGAATCGGCCACCCAACCAGTTTATAATTGAACTGGTTGAACAGGTCAGTCCGATCTGATTTTCAAAACATTAAATTTTAGTGCTATAATGAAACTTAAATAAAATTTAACATTTAAGGATACGAGCAAGGCCTTCCCTTCTTTATTTAGAAAATTGGAGTTCCTCTCGCAGAAAATAATTTATAAGGGATAAGCAAGGCCATTTGCTGCCGATCTGCTTTGAGATATGTGCTCCTGTAAAAAGGTAAAATTACATGCGGTCTTCAATTATATTTATATATAATACTTAATGATAGTCCATGTGTTAAATAAAGTATTTATAAATATAAAATTATATTTTTTAATTATGTGAATTATAATTATTGATAAATATATTATATATAATGTCATCTTAATAAATTTGAATTATTCACAATTAAATTTTATTTGACAAAATATATTTGGTGTTTTTTTATAATTTTGTTATTAAAAAATTATATCTATGTATATTTGTCATCTTGTTTTTTCCTCTTTAAATTAAGTTGAAGCTTTTAGCTTTAATAATAGTGAGAGAATATAGAATCATGAGGAAAGGTAGAACCTGTAATTTCGGGTTTACGGTCGGTGTCAGGAGTCAACCGAATTGATCGGTAACTATTCGGTTCGTTGACCCGACCCGTTTTTTCAAAACGGGTCGATTTTCTGGACCGCAAGCCCCGCCCGCTTCGGGTTCTGAGTCAGGTTCGGGTCAACCCGACCCTCCTATTCAGCGCAAATCCGGCCGTCCGCACACTGCATTCAAAAATTTTCGCCAAATCACCCTCGTTGCGCGGGCAGCGGGTCCACGCGGGAGGCTCTCAATTGATGCGTGGCCGTGTGACCTCGTCAGGCCACTGACGCCTGGATGTGTTCATGACGCCGACGCGGGAGTTCGGAACGGCGGGAGATGGCTCGATGGCGGTGATGGCTGACGCGGGAGTTCGGAATCGGAACTGATGCAAGTCACGCAGCCTCGGGACGCGAAGGCGTGAAGCGACGCGACGTGGCCTGGGCAGCCGGGGCCAGGCGGTCTCGGGGCAGCGGGGAACTCGGGTTCGGGTTTATGTATTATTTCGGGTCATTTTCGGGTTTCCGGGTCACCCGAACCCGACCCGGTTTTGCAAACGGGTTGGTTTCCAGACCCGATCCCGACCCGCTTCGGGTTCGGGTAAACCCAACCCGAAATTTTCGGGTCGGGTTTGGATCGGGTTTTCGAGTCGGGTCCAATATTGACAGGTCTAAGGAAGGGAAAAAAAAGTGGAGTGAGAGAATTCTAATAGACAACTGGGTCCTTGTTGATGGGTAAAGGCTTCAAAGTAAGATCAGTACAAGAAAATTAACAAAGGGGCAAAATGTCATTTACCATCAAGGAGCTAAAATATCATTTGAGAGCTAAAATGTTATTTAAAATAAATTAAATCAAATAATTAGTGATACTTCATAAAAAATGGCATTAGTCTCATGGATCTATGCAAATATGAGCTTGCAAAAATTAAAATCGGACCATCTAATGTCCAATTTCAGCACACTTTGTCAAATTGAACATTTAAGGAGGCACCCAATGACATCAAATTTAATCAACATCCGAGTCCACATGACCAAATCAAAGTTGCTAAAGTCTATTTGGAATATCAAAGCATTCATTCGACTACCAAATGATATCTGATATGGATACTTTTAGAATCGAGCGGCTCGATGAGAGAATCAATATCATATACCACTTAATTCTAACATCCCATGGCATGTAAATCCTTGATAAACATTTCATGGTTAGGGATGACTATGAGCCGTCCGATGAATTCTCCTAACATGTCTTGATCTTCTCCATATTTAACTAGTCATCGTCATCCCAAAAAATTATAAGTAGCCCCACATTCTTCACATAAGAGAGGAGAAGGAAGAAGGGAGAAAGATTAGAGAGCTCTTTACCTCTCTAATCTATGTCGTTATCGTCGCCGGACTTCTGTCACCATCGCCCTGTTGCTGATTCAGTACTGAACCATTGCCCAATCCTAATCATCGAGGATTTCCACCTGGCCATCGACTATTGCTGAATTTTCTACCAGCATAATCCTTCCAACCACCGTCGTCCACCAAATACGGTCCCTACGACCTCCGTCGCCCCGTAATACGGTCCCTCAAACCAGTTTTTCCCGACTAAATATCCTTTTGACCAGCTCATCGCTCTCCAAACACGATCTCTTCGATCCTCCGTCACCTACGACTATGGTCCCTCGAACACCTTCACCTAATTATAGTCCTTCCAACCATCTTCGTCCTACTACGTACGATCATTTATGTCTATCATCATTTGTATATCGACCTTACTAGGGCTACAAAATGAACCAAGCCAAGTATGTAAGTGTTCATTGTTTCACTCATTTATATCAGCTTGTTAAAGTTTGGTTTCGTGTTTGATTCAGCTTTATTTTTTATGTTCATATTTGATTCTTTAAATTAATAGTGTTCATGTTTGTTTCATATTTTGGTTTATGTTCGTTTGTTTAGTGTTTATCGAGCTTTAAACAAACAAGGCATAATGAGCTATAAACTAGTTTTACTTCTAGATGTTCATCAACTTAACAAACAAGCTTTATCGAGCGTCCTAACAAACAATTACATCGAGCATGTTCTTGAACATATTTAGCAATTTTTTTAAACCTATCAAACAATATGTTCATTAATCATATCTAGGCGAGTATTCTTGAGATATGCAAATAGCAAGTTCATTACATATATATAACTAGTTTTTGGAGCTAGCGCAATGAGCTCGTTCACGAACAAGCAATATATGATTCATCTTATATTTGTTCATAAATATTTTAAACAAATAATCTTATAAATAATATTTAACTATAATTATATCATTATATTATAATAAATATAAAATATTATATTATATATATTTATCAATTGCATAATCAAATACTTATTGAGTTTTTATCGTGTTTATTCACGAGTTCTGAATCGAACACGAATCGAGCTTTTATGGAGCTTAATGTCGAGTTTGTTCACGTGCTTCAAATGATGTTATTCATGAATATAAATGAGCCGAACGCATTAGTGTTCAAGTTTGTTTATTTAAGGATCGAGTATTTAAAATATTGTTCAAGTTTGTTTGTTTAGTTCATTAAACGACCAGAAACAAACTTTAATCGAACAGAGCAACGAGTAGCTCATCAAACACTTGGTTCGCTTGCAGCCCAATAACTTACCAATTAAACAAGCATAATAGAATTCTCTTGAGAACAACTATCATGTCATTATCTCACTATATAATGTGCTCTCTACAATGTATATTTATTTGAGTCAATGCCCTAAGGGGTAGTATTTGTAATCAACCACAAACACTAGTGGATTCATTTTGATTGGGAATGGTCTTGTAGTTTTTCCCCCTTTTTAGGGATTTCCATCTAAAAACCAATCTCTTATGAACATCGCACCCCTATCTTTTTATATGTTTTTGTGCTAGATCTTCATACAAAGCTAGGACACTAAATTTTATCTCTTTACCGCCATAAATTTTCTAGGATGCAATAATTATCATTGAAGTAAAAAAAAAAGTTCATTTGTATTGATTTGCTTTGCTTTTCTGATCAATACCACTGTTTTTATTTGGTTACTAGTTTTTACTTTTTTCAAGAAATTTATGTGCAAGAAGGCTGCTTTTAAAAGTAACTTTCTAAAAATTACTTTCCCTACAACCTTTTTGTAACCATCTTTATAGAAAACTATAGTCGTCTCAAACACACCCTTAGGATCTATTTGGGACAACTTTGGACTATAATTAGTAGGTGACGGAGGTTAGAAGGACCATAGTTGGACGATGGTGGTTAGAAGGACTATAATCGGGCAATGATGATCATAGGGACCATAGTCAGCAGGTGACGGAGGTTAGAAGGACCGTAGTCGGAAGACGGTGGTTGAAAAGGCTGTAGACAGACAACAATGGTTTGAAGGACCATAGTCATATAATGTCAACTTTTCCCTTAACTCAAGTTCAAGGAGAAGGCAATATGTTGAAGGGATTTTCAAACTTCAAAAGATTGGTTCCCTTAATGTAGATTAAATAATAGAGAATGTTTCATCAATATCTGAGGATGGTTGGAGATTCAATATCAATCAACCATTCGATAGATGTCTAGAAATATTTGGCTGTTTGAAAAAGATTCAACATCGACCAACGAATAATCGGAAGTTCAACGACTGTTGGTGGTCAGGAAGAGATCCAACTTATGGTACAAGTTTGAGAAAGCAAGAAAGATCCTTCATTTTTCTTCTTTTTCTCCTCCCTTCCTT